ATTATCTTTTTTATTCTAGTTCTTAGACAGCTTCATTATAGGCAGTTAGGCAAGTCGGAGAAGTGTAATAATCAAATTATCTTTCAGTTATTCCCTAATAAGTCGTGTTTTCAATTTGTCTCAATTCAAAGTAATTTGTTTTTTTAATATCACTTTTTTTAAATTTAGGAACATTAGGTGTGACCCACTTTTAGAGTCTGAATATTGTAATACAAAATTATTCAGCAGACGAATAAAACTTTTAATCATGACAAAAGATGCTCTATAAATAACTGAAACACGTTTAAGAACAAATGCCATAATTAGCTTGAATTTATTGACTTAAAGGCATGATTATAATTGAGCTAATCCATGATTCTATTTTAAAATGTTCAAGCTAATAAGCATTTCCTTTAAAGAACTCAAAGAGAGAAGCCAATGCGGAGAACATGATCATTTTCTAAGGACTATAAGCACTATTTAGAGTTAGAATCTTATTTAGTTATTTTTCTATAAGAGATTATACCCATGGTTTAAGGAGACATATTCCTGTTACAGGATCAAATAGGAAGCCAAGAGGAGAAATAATGACCTAAATAGAACAATTGGTGTTCGTATATAATCTAGAAAAAGATTAATTAGTCATAAAGGCTTGCAATCCCATTAAAGATAAATATTTTTCTACTGCGACATCTTAAAAGACAACGTAATACTGATTAGATTAGGCCCGTGAAGCTATCATAAACTTATATTTGAGACATTGATAAAACATGAAGTGTAACAATAATTCAGTATTAAATTAATTAACAATATCTGCTTTAGTACTTTTAGATATATCAACATTACATATAGTATCAGGTATGTATGTACTGGAATGAACTAGTTTAAATTAGAAAGTATTTTGTTTTGCGAACAATTATCTACATTTAATGAGCATTTCGATCTAGGATTAATCAAAGATAATACTATTATAACTTAATTCTCGTTTATTAGTAAATAGTAGTCTTAAACTTCTTAATATTTAATCTTTTTAAAGTGTGTCCATATTAGTTATACTTTCTGTTTCTTATTTCTTTAAGTTAATTAGTCGGTTTTTCTGGATTTAGAGATTGGGTTAGTACTATGTTAAGTGATCCCTATAAGAATGGGTGGGATCAGAGACTTATTATTAACCCCTTTTTTTAAATAATGTATCCATTTATAATTAGGTAATATTTTATTTATGATTTTAATTATTTATTTTTAATTTGATTATTATAATTTATTTAATTTTATTTTTTGCTTTTGATTTAATTTAAGACAGTTTTAAAAAGATATTTTATTTATTTTTAATTAGATATTTTATTTATTTTTAATTTAAGACTGTCTTAAAATTAAATTATTTTCTATAAAAAGTCAAGTCAAAAATAAATAAATTAATTAAAATATAATATTAAATTAAAAATAAAAAGATATTAAATGGATTAACAAATTTAGTAACAATAATAACCATAAGCATTATAAGCCTAATACTAAAAAGAACAGGCAAACTAACTAATCAAATAATTACATGCCATATACTCACAACAGTTAATAACTATTTCAGATCATTTAGCTGATTTAGAAAAATATCGATATCTTTATCCACCTCTAATCAATAACTATATTCATCTTCATTCTGAATTAATTGTAGACGAATCACTAAATGTTGTTTCTCCTCATTTCTAGTTAACTGCACTTTTCAAGGAATGGCATTTTAACAATACAGCTTAAATAATTAAATATTGTTTTTAGAATGTAATATAGCTAAATTGGTCTTTTGAATTTAAAATAAACCAGAATTCTGGTTATGCTTGGTATTAACATATTCATTTCTTTTTCTTTTTTGGATAATATGAACAGGCTAAACTGAAATAGTTGTAAACTTGGCTTCGTGATGAAATGGAACCAAAAGGACTAGAAACATTACCAGATATTAAATAAAATTTATCGCTAAGTTAATTATGTTATGCTAGTCCTGTAACACCTAAAAAAGAAGATATATTATTTGTAACTAAAACTGATAATGAAGGTTAATAAATTATATTGGCATATGGTTTCGTAAATATGATTTCTGACTTAGAATAATTAAAATAATTAGGAAACTAATAAGAATAAATTCTACTATCTAATATCGATTAATATCTAGACAAAATAAAGCAATACGAATAGACACATTAATATAGTGATTGTAAGTAACCAAGTAGTAGCATAGTTTCTGACCCAGAAGATTCAGAAAATGTTTATTAAAAATATGATAGTCTTGAATAATCCTGTTTTACGTTTGTTGTCAATCAACCAGTTACTATCAATACAATTCTAAAATACGCCCTAGAACCTAATTAATTAGATAAAACAGACTTAGGAATTAAAACACTGCTAGACATATTAAATGACTAACAGCACAGATTAATGAATTGGTTGTCGAAATTAAGTAATATTATATAAGTTTATATGTCACCAACTGAAGTCGAATCGAGTGATAGAAGATCGATATTCTGGTTAGCAGGTAGTAATGGAATTGGAAAAAGTTTATTTATTCGAATGCTACATGATATAATCAGAGTTCATGCTCACTTTAATATATGGTATTTATCAGCTAATTATGGTCTTAAAGACTAATTCGGGGATTAAGTCACGTACAACTTAAACAATAAAGCACTAAGTTATCTTGATGAAAGTGCTGTTAATTTCTTAGTAGTAGATGAAGTTCAAGTTGGAGTTGGATTGTTTTCTGATGACCAATTGTTGTAATTATCTCAATCATCAGGAGGAGGCTCAAAATAGTCAATTTCCTTATAAATGAAGTATGGCCATAACATAGTATTACGTAAATGTTGTTGGCTAATATTCAGTAATGTTTAAATAGAGACATTTGTTACATAAATGCAATAGATTAGATTGGGGTAGAATATAAATTCACTTCTTTTAAGAACTAACTACTTAGATGTATGGGAATATAGTGACAGACTTATTGAATGGCAAAAATAATAATTAGTGGACATATAAAGAAACTATAACAACACTTTGGTAATAGATATAAAAGAATTTTTATTCTTGAACATCGATATACATTTGCAATTAGAAGGCTAAAAATATGATTAATATTGTTCTAATGCTGTGAAAGTAAATAAAATTAGTAAGTAATTGTTCAATAAACTAACTAATTATTCATCACGTCGAATGGAGTTCTTATCTTTAACAGTTCAACAATACAAATTGATCTAAGAATCATAAAACATTAACGTTGCTAAGTTATAAATCAAATAAGCAACCTAATTCTTGTTGGATACCACAGTTACTGGATATAGCACGTAATTTAATGAATTTATAAACACTAATTATCACTACGAAGGTGAAGCTTAGATTGCGCCTATATCTGATGAACGTATTGACGCAATAAAAAAGATGAATTAAAGTAGAATTCCTTAAGTTTATTAAAGGTTACAAGAAATTAGAATGACAAGTAAATAAGATAATTCTGATTAACTGTAGTTATCAGATACATTCAGAACAGTATTCAATTACTATTAATGTATCCAATTCTTGTTTACTGATTAGCATTCACCTCAATAAAATTAATAGTGTTTGTGTTTTAATAGTGAAATAAATGCTGATCTATAATTCATAACGGTGTAAGACTTAGCAAGCGATTTAAGTTCACTTAAAACAAACATGATAATTAGATTTTATACAAATTATGACTTTTTAAGAAAGAGAACTATTGATTGTGGATTAATACTAAGTAAGCTTATATCTCTCATTACTTCTTACATAGATGATTTAGAATAGGTATTAATTAGTAATAACGTTAAAACAATTAAACGTAATGTGATGAGTGCTAACTTACTTAATTTTGTAAGTCTAATTCATAAAGATGACTTATAATAACTTAAATTCTAATAACTGTTTTTTGCTCTAGTTGTACATTCTTGTAGTCTTATAGCTTAAATCTTGTTTCTTTCCCCAAATCATATGGATTCTGGTATTCAACTTTTTAAAGAACTTTAATAAAATATTTTGTAATTTTCATACTTATTATGCTTTGATACCAATTAGTGGACTTTTACTTTATAATAATGCATTTTGTATGCAATGACTTAATATTTTCGTAGTTGTTTTGAGACACCTAAGAGATCTAAGAACAGTAATAAAACTTAGTTATTTGATTCTTTTATAATATTCGAGTTTGCTGATCTTTCTAGTGACTTAGTTAATTAGCTTATCAACAAAGTCTATTTATTTACTAGGCGAGTCACAATAGAAAATATTAATTGTTAGTCATTTTAAAATTACGTGAGAAATAGAACAAATATTTATAGTTGGTAAAAGGATTTGATTTCGTGTATTATAAAAAGACTGGAACTGTCTAAATCTAGCTAACGAACTAGAACAAAATAATATTTTTATTAAAGTCCTTAGGTATTGAAAAAATAGCAAACGTTATGAAATGATGAAGAATAGAGTATATAAATTTAGCAATAATAATGTATCTTTTGAAAGAAATATATATTATATATAATCAGTAAATATATTTTGTATTAAATTAAATTAAATTAAAAAGAATA